GATTTTATCAATAAAATTTAAAAAACCAAGTTTAGGATTTTAATTTTTATTTATTTCATAATGAAGGGTGGATTAGTAATTATTACTTTAGAAAATGGTCAAATAAGCAGACTCACAGCTGGTAGTTCTATTCCATAATGATTTTCTTTTTTAATAATGTATAATATAGTAATCAACTAGCTATTAATTTTAACTTTCAGATCGGAATTATATATATATATAATTTCTATGCAGAAATATGTAACATTATCTAATATCCAACTTGCTAGTTATTCCTGATACCTGCCACAGAAGTGTTCTCATTTACAATTCAAAGAATCAACAGTCAAACACTCATTTTTCACATCACACTCAACCCTTTTGTCTTGGCCTTAGTTTATATAATTTCTAGATGGAATTTTAAGTAAAAAAGACTTGTCTCCATATTCAACATTCATTAATTCATGGAGTGGACGGTTTACTCCATAGAATTTGTCAAATAAATCCAGCGGCTTGACAAGACCTCCCCCCCCACGCCGACTACTACCTGCCATCACTTAAGAATATAAATATTTCCAAAGAATTTACTTAGTACAAGTCCTATATTTCTCTGATCAAACATTTAGTTTTCTTCTTGAATGGCTCATAACAATATTTCACTAGATATGGATCCTGGAATATGGAGTCAGCTACCGGAGGAACTCCTCGAGAGGGTGCTGTCATTTCTACCGCTAAAAACTTTCTTGAACCTCAGATCAACTTGTAGATATTTCAATTCTCTCCTTTTCTCCCCTTGCTTCATTTCAAAACATTCACCGTCGTCTTCTTCGCCTTTCTCGTCCTTCATCCTCCTTTCACACCCACAGTTTATACAAAAGTGTCCACTCTTCAATACTGTATTGAACTCCTGGTGCAATATGTCACTCTCCTTGCCTCCCATGCTTTCATGTCCACCTTTTTCAAATCTTGTCTCCAGTTCCAATGGCCTCCTATGTTTTTCTATCCCGAGATCATCGTGTTTCATTGTATGCAACCTTCTGGCGAGATCCACACGAAGAATAAAGTTCCCTACATGTCCATTTGACTTTGAGTTTCTTACTCTAGTTTCCACATCAAATGGTTACAAATTATTCATGCTATCTTCTTTTGGATCATCCACCATTCATGCCCTTGTATACGACTCTGTGCTTCGTTCCTGGCTACAACTCGATGGGTGCAATCAAATTTTGAGCCATAGCTATTATCAGAAGGGTGCGTTTTATGATGGATGCTTGTATTTCACCACTCCCGAGCCTTTTAATGTTGTGTACTTAGATTTCGATGCTGGGAAGTGGGAGAGATCAAAAATTGAGTTGCCGGGAAGCCTTACATTTGTTCGACTAGTAAGTGATGAGGATCGGAAGTTGTATTTGATTGGAGGAGTTGGGCAGAGTGGGATTTCAAGAAATATAAAGTTGTGGGAATTGGGAGAAAATGGAGAGAATTGGGTAGAGAGGGAAACATTGCCTGAGATGATATGCAGAAAATTTGTGTCTGTTTGTTACCATAACTATGAACATGTTTATTGTTTTTGGCACCAAGGATTGATTTGTGTTTGTTGCTATACATGGCCTGAGATTTTGTACTACATGGTGTGTAGGAGAACTTGGCATTGGTTGCCCAAGTGCCCTTCATTGCCTGACAAATGGAGTTGCGGTTTCCGCTGGTTTCCCTTTAAGCCCGAGCTATATGCCATTGTTTAATAGTTAGAGTTGCGGTTTCCGCTGGTTTCCCTTTAAGCCCGAGCTTTCCCCTGCACGGGATGTATTAGGGCTCTACATAAAATGTTTTAATATTCTTTTTCTGCAATTCTATGCAATATTTCATTTTCACTATATTTTTACGCCTTTAATAATAGTGACTAGCTTTGCATATCCTGTATGTTTGTGGATTTGTTTCTTTTTATTTATTGAGAGCAGTTGTTAATATTAATTGTCGTATTATTAGAATTTCTTCATTTCCTCGAAATTAGTTAGTGTACAAAAATGGCTTTGATATGTTTGAATCTTTAGCCTTTGTTTGACAATCGCTATTTGAAGAAAATAAAGTTTTGAATAGTGATTTTTTACAAATTGTGTAATTAAAAATTGAGGGAAAATGTTAGATTTACGTGTAAAATATTTTATTATGTGAATTTGATTGAAAATGAGTATTTAAAAAAATTGAAAATAATGCTGGTCAAAGAGCTCACAATTAATCAAGGAAGTTTTATATTTTTAAAATAAATATTGATTTTTTATGTTAAAATGTAGTATTTATTGAAAACCCCGTAATAGTCAAACTTTGAATTCCACAAGCCAATGTTTTTAATCTTTGATTATGGTAACTACGAGGAGGGTTAAGCTTCCTATTATTAGTATCCGGGAAAGTGTGGAAAATGTCCAATTTTGAATTCTAAAAAATGGTCAAAAATTTAGGACTCATTTGGTTTGTTGAAAATGTGTTTGATCAGATATTTTCGAAAATGTATTTTTGAAAAAATAAAATGTTAAACTTATAATATGAAACTAAAAAATCTTTTTTTTTTTTTTTTTTTTTTGACGTTTTCAATGTTTTCGGTGAAAATTATAAAAACGGGTTAATTTCACAAACGGTCATTGAACTTACCTAAAAATTATAAAAAGGTCACTGAAATTTTAGGCGCTTTCACAAACGGTCATTGAACTTACTATTAGGACTGTTATGATCTTAATTCAAACTTAAAGGACAACAATACGTGGGCATAGAAGATTGAGGACCTCAAGTGCAAATTTTTTGCTATTAAGGCCCAAACCCCAAAAAAAAAATCACAATTCACGATCTGAAGTTTCAGGCACTTTGGGAGAAAATCATGCCCTAATCTTCCAATAAATTGGGTTTGGGTCTTAATAGCAAGAAATTTTCA